GGTGACCGCATCAATTTTCACAATATACTAACAATGAAAAAAATGGCAATGATATATTTCAAGGTGGTATTAACAATTACCGAGTGGATACAAAAATTAGCCAACACAATGTTACACATACTGTATACATAGGCCCATAACTCATGGTTTAGCTCATTACAACTCAACAAAAGAGAATATATGTAGTTTATCTACAAATGCTGTGGAACACGATACTCGTTCCACACACCATAAAAACATAAAATATTTAGTGTCTCAGTTGTTTTCCTGTACCTTAATACAAACATCTTAGCTTTGGATACAATAAGTTCAACACTGCAATTTCCTTTTTGGGAAGATTTTGGTTAATTATGTCCTTGAAAAACAGTTTGAGTCGCCTCTTGCTCCAAACTTTGATATCGATAAAACTCTTTGTCAGCTGTATATCCAAACCATAGTTTGACACACAGGTGAGAAAATCTTTTACTGAGCAAAATATCTCTTCGCTCACTCTAAGTGTGATATCTATACGGTACGGCGAGCAAAGCCTTGGAATCCTACGCATTCTTCTTTCAATTAATTTTCTCTAGAAACACACGTCTTTAATAATTACAACATGCAGGTTTGCCATTTGCAAATCACATTGTAATTTCTCCCATTCATCCAAAGCTTTATACTTGCGAATTAGCTTGCCTTTAGCTGATCTCAGTTCTTTAAAAAAGTCCATAAGTGCAAGCTTTTCACTGACATATGCTCTATCGATCTTACGATAAAGCTGAAACTCTTTTTCTCTGAAGACTTTATCCAAAATAGTTTCAAGATTTGTCACAGCCAGCATTCTTACACCGGCCATGTTTTATCGTTAAACCTGCGAACAGGCATGCTATCGGAGACAGGATCGGGCAAGCCTCGATATCCTGTTTAGCGCTTTCTTAGTTTTAAATCCCCGGTGTGAAAACAACAAAAAAAAGTTCTGTTAAATTATGTTAAACTTCCTAGTGACAATTGACGCTTGTTATTTGACAAAATGGTATATATTTCATATCATTTAATTAAAGAATCCTATATATATATAGTTTTAATACTTATGCTGTGTTACCTTTGGAAATCATATACAATTATGTATGGATAATAAAGAGCATGCCAAAAGTACTTACTAATCAATAAATATGTTCCCCCATGCCAAAAGTACTTCGAAATCAATAAATATGTTCCCCAATTCCAGAATTTGTGCAACTGTGTGCATCCATGTTAGTTCGTTTCGGTCATCCGACAATCACCGAAGATGTCAACAAACAGTAATAGCTCATAATCGTGATCTGTTCACTTATCCAACGATTTCCGAAGATGTGGACATTTAGATGGACGCATACACTTTTCAGCAATAACATAGTGGTTAGCCGTGTATCAAAATATAGAGGCCGTAGACAAAATAATTGAACCAGAACAATTGTATTGTATCATGTGTGGAAGAAAGTTGACAAAATACATTTGCCTACCGCATCTATTTGTAATCGTTGCACAGTACACAAACAAAACGAAGAATCCCAAGGCTGGCTGGCTTGCTGGAAGCGGCTGGAAAGCAGTTGGATATTGCATAAAGTGCAATATATTTAGGCAAGAATATGAGGAAAATAATGGCAAGAAAAGGATCTCTAGAAAAATGACATTTTTTATTTACGCCCAAGTGGACTGTCCCTGAAGACGTTGATCATAAGGAATAGAGCCCGCAACTATGCGATGTTTGAAACAGGCCTTATACAAACTTAAAAACCTGGAACAACTATGTCAACTATCAATATCATTCAAGTATATAAAAAAAAAGAAAAGATATTTCAGTCAATTGATATACTTTTAACCTTTATTTTTATCCATATTCCCTATTGAAAGTAGATTAAGGTCCAGGGGTTCCAAAATTACCGACTGTATCAACTGAACGCATGCCACTGAGCTATATAATAATTCCATGCAGCAATTTAATATAGAACTCAGTGACGCCTGGCCGGCATGCAAGCTACCATGTGCTTTCCATATGACAGCATTCAGTCTGAATGTTGTTACTAATTTGGTTGTGGTCGAAATCTCTATTTTTATTACATAAGAAAAATCTTGATAAGTATGGCTGTATTTCTTTCTGCTAATGTACATCAAGGCAGTGAACTTTTTAGTGTTCAGTCTAGAGGAAAGCAATGTGCTTTTATGACTTTATCGGCTGTTTTAATAGCCCAAAACAGACCATTGATAAATTGGTCAAACGTAACATTTCAGAATGGCCTTTTACAAGGGGACAAAATGTATTTGAATGCTTTAAATAGTGGTTTAATTGTCTTAGAACCAGGTGTAGAATTTCTGTCAGTAAATGACTTACCAAAAGTTGTAAGCATTGCATGTTTTAAAAATGAATTTTCTTTTGACATCAGGGGATCTGGGCATTGTCTGCCTTTTGAGCCACAAAACCAAAGTGATCTGCCCATTGTGGCAGAGCTTATTGAGGCACAAAACAAAATTGATCTACCCATTGTGGTAGAGCCCATGGAGGCACAAAGCAAAAGTGATCTGCCTATTATGGTGCAGCCCATCGAGGCACAAGGCAAAAGTTATCTGCCTATTATGTATGGTGCAGCCCATTGAGGCACAAAACAAAAGTGATCTGCCCTTAAAGAGCCCATTGAGGCACAAAACAAAAGTTATCTGCCCATTATAGAGCCCATTGAGGCAGGAAGTGAAAACAAAATTTGCTGCATAAATTATGAAAAAGAGCTTCAAGGTCTAATTATAACTGACCAAGAATTTGAATCACACTACTATGATATTCATACTGCACTGTTAAATACTTTTGCTGATTGCTGTCATGCCATTTTCATATTAGAAGGTTGTAAGATGGCCTTGATAAAGCAAACGAATTCTTTCTATCTAATTGACTCACATGCCAGAGAGTTCAATGGTGTACCTGATTCCAATGCCACAGCTGTTGTCATGAAGTTTAGTGATGTTTGCAAGTTAGAACAACATTTCTATAATCTGTCAATAGATTTGCATATCAATGTATTTGAAATTGTACCGGTCAAATTAACAAGCTTTAAGAAAACTTTACATTATATAAGTACTGAGTCTAGAAAAACGAGGCGATCAGAGGAAAACTGATAGTCACAGACAAGTTAGACTTCAGAAAGCTAGACAGTCTAAAGAGAGAAACATCAGCAGAATCTAACATTGAAAGAAAAATACAACTTGAGAAAGACAGAAAACAAAAGCATGCAAAAAGAACATTGCAGCTTCAAAAAGAAATAAACCAACAGGATTATTTAAATATGTTTGACATCACTCAAAATGGTCCTATTCATGAGCAATGTTGGGCAAAGGTTAACATGAATAAATTCATAAAATCTGTGCAATATTCAAAGTCACCTTATGTGTGTTCACGATGCTTTAGAGATAAAAATCTCCGAAAAGATTTTCATTTGAAAATTCAATGATTCCTTCAAATGTTCCAAATGAATTACAAAATTTAACTCAGATTGAAGAAATGTTAATTGCTCATGCTCTTCCTATCATCAGAGTTTATATTAAACCTGACAACCTGACATTATATCCATGGCAGTCTTGTTGTGTTTCTAATGTCATATGGTGATTAACAAGACCATTCAAACACTTATACATCTTCTTTCAAATCTTCTTTTGTCTAATGGTATCCACTTCAGCAGAGCAAGTGCTTCAGTTGAAGACAAGTAAAATGGCTGGTCAAGAATGATCTTGGCAGCTTTACTTTGTAGTACTTGTAGAGTTGCCATGAGCGTATTGTTATTTTTGTCTCCCCAGACTATGTCCGCATAATCAAAAATAGGGAGAATGAGACTATTATAAAAAAGTACACGTGACTTGAAGGGTAGAAATACCTTTATCCTTCAGAAGACTAAGCCGTTGGTTAACTTTACATGCAATATGTTCCACATGTTCTGTCCATGTGAAGTTGGATGAAATAACGATCCCCAGATACTTAAAACTTTTCACAGAGCCAATATTCTGGTCATGAATAGATATCTGTAGAGATGCCATGGCCAGAAATATGGGACATTTAAACTGCGCATACTCAACATTTAGTTAAACAAAGGTGGCGGAAAGTCTCTATAAGAATGTATTAGTGGCAGAATCATTTTCAAATTTGAGCGAGTTTGTTCGGAGCTTACTCATTTGCCGCGCTTGATATGATACGATCGAAACTTCGGTAGTTTAACAAAATTACTTTCATAATTTATTTTAACCGTCATCTGGTTACAATTCGAATGTAATTTCAATCTCTATTTCGATAGTATAACTATACATCAATGGCGTTAATCCACAATACCAAGCACTTTACTCCAGCCATAAAAGATACGTTTCACTTCTGATCAGATTTGCCGCCCTTCCTTCGTAAACAATAACACAACGAATATTCGCACAACAATTCTCGAAATAATCCGTCCATGTTAACTGGTTACAAATCAGCATGGAAAACAAGGGAATTCAACGATTTAATTTGATCTATATACGACAATTCGCGCGACCATGAGCGTCCAAAAACATTGCATAAACTGCGTTCGTTTTAAAATATTTCGCCATGTTTGGTGTCAATACAAAGCTTAGAAACCAGGCTTTTGTATAGTTAGGGATTAGAGGGGATTCGCTTTAAACCTCCCCCTATATACCCGTTTGTTCTTTTGTTTATCTAATTACCCGCCACCAAAGGCGCCACTGAGCGCCATAATTTGAATTTGCAAATTATGTCAGATATTCTGAAACAATTTGATTTAAATAAATTTAAATACAGCATCTCTTTGTCTACTGAACATTGCCTAAGTTATGTAAAAAAGGCTTCTGTGCACGAAGATGAAATAGCTTTGACGATTGGTATTCCCTATGAGCATTTGAAAAATTGGCATGATCTGAGGCGATGTAACACTTTATTGTCTGAGCATTCGTATATTGAAATTTTGAACGCTTTCATATCTTCTCATGGAATACAAATCAACGGGAGCCAGAGAATGAATGAGCTACTAAGAAGAAGTTGTGGGGAGATAAAAAGTAAATGTTGCAAGCTTAAGGGCCGTTACAAACCTGAGTATCTTAGCACAATTAAACGTATATCAGTTTTCCGCGATGGGTTATTTAACGTGGCTGAGGTACAAAAATTGATACAGTCAGTATCAGAGGAAAATGAAAGACTGGAAGAGAATGGGAGGGAGTTGCAGGCTGAAATTGGAACATTAAAAGAGAGCAAGATAGCAGCTGATAAAGCATTAAGTACTAAACAAGAAGAATACAAAGCCATCTTGAATGAAAATAAAAAACTTAATGATTACTTGGAAAAAGTTGGAATTGTTGTCAATTTTAAAAACGCAGGAAGAGAACTATCAGAGCTTGGGAAAAAACAGCAAAACCGCAAACTTACTGAACTGAAGGCAAATGTGAAAGAGAGTTTGTGGTTTGCAAACACCTTTGGTCTAACATTGGAATCTGCAGTTTTCAGTGATAAATATGGGTCAAATTACTCATTGGCATATCAAACCTCTCCACAGAATAAAAAGTACAATGAACTCCCAGAAGTGGAAAAGAAAAAGATAAAAGAAATCCTTTTTATTATGGATCACTTTTGTATAGGCGAGGCTGCCTATCATGAAGTCACAATGACCCAAGCTGGAGAGAATTTACCACGGTCCTATCTCATCAAACAATGCAAAGAATCATTGAATGCACTCACATGTATTGAGAGGACACCTGGGGTATGTGAAGGAGCACAGCTCAACTTCCATGATGCTCTCTGCAGTGAAATCCAAAAACATGTAAGTGTATCCAATGTTCAGCCACATGTAATTTAACATCAAATAAGGTAATTACTTATCAAGAGAAGGGTCTTGTGCACTAATGCATTAATCATGTTTGTTCATTCCCAAGCTTAAATATTTTTTCTAGATGGAAAATTGCAGACTGAATGGCTTGGATGTTCCAGCAAAGTATAAGATCAAGCTGAGTGGTGATGGTGCAAAAATGACGCGAAATACTGGGTTTATTGTGATTTCTTTCTCAATTTTGAATGATGGAGATGCTGTGCTAGCATCAAGAGGTTAGAACTATTTACCTTTTACTGAATGAAGTGTTTCAAATATTTTTAGTAACAATTATCATTATTTTATTTTTTTAGGGAATCACACAGTTGCTGTAATAAAAGGAAAAGAGGATTACGACACTCTTCAATCATCATGTACTAGGATTTTTGAGGATGTTAATAAAATTGTGGAAACAGGCATATTGAAAATAGCTGAAAATAATGTGCCTGTAGAGATGTTTCTTGGTGGTGACTACAAGGTGATTTGTAATGAATGGGTTTTAAACACTATATATGGGCTCCATATTCTCAGCCAGCTAGGATTAATATAGCCTGTTAAGAGTGGAAGCTAGCACATCTAACTGGCAAGAGTTGATTTTTAAAAGTTTAAATATTTTACTTACAGTTTCTTTTGTTGGTATTGGGCATGAAATCAGCAACATCAGATTATGCTTGTATATGGTGCAAGATCCAAAAATTGTTAAGGTAAAATAAAAAACTATCATCTATTGATGGAGCATTCCCAACAAAACTATTTTCAGCTATTTTCAAAATGCCAGTTTCCACAATCTTATTAAATTCTAATTAATTTTGTACTGATCCCATGTTCCTAGATATGATATGAGCAAGCCTGAAAATTTCTACTGGGCAGATGAAATAAAGAGGACACTAGATGACATCAGAGAATGCTGCCTAAAGCATCAGTTTTCCTGTGAACGCCCCCCTTTATTAAATATTCCCTTGGACAATGTGGTGTTAGATGAGCTCCATTGATGTTGCAAGTAACAGGTACTATATATTACTGCATGTTTTCTAATTAATATTGTTTTGTAATTAGCAACATTAATAATATAAGAGGGTGTCTTAGAATAGCCCCCTAATAAAGTATTAACTGAAAAAGAGAGTATAATAATTTATTTTCTTTCAGACAAACTGATTGGAAATTTGGTTGATGAGGCATTACAACAAGACAAAAGAGAAAATCTCAGAAAACGTCCATCTGACCAACAACAATTGCATTTAGATAACCTTGTAAAAGCAATTTGCAGTTGTGGTGTGACCTTTTCAGTTTGGGAAAAGCGAGATGTTGATGGAAAAGGAAGTAACACATATGATTTTACCAGCATGATGGGAACAGAGAAGAAAATCCTTCTAGGTAACCTGCCAGCAAAGTTAGATGGCATACTCACTCCAGCAACAAGTGCTACAGTGATAAGCATTTGGAAGGTACTTGGTCACATCCTAACATCTATATCTTAGCACCAAATAGTGTGTCATGTTTGGACAACTATGATGGGTCTCACTGGGGTTTAATAACTAAGTTGTGCATTAATTATGTTACTGTGAAATATGCAATAAGTGGGTATATATTAATTGTATAACAAGGGCTATTTCAATTGATTTTTAAACAGGATTTCAACCATATTTATAATGAATATATCCAGAAAGAAATTCTTTCAGAGGCTGAAGTTGATGCATATTTCAGCAAGGTACAGTATTGGGATATACTACAAATCTGGCACAATAGACACAGCACTGACAAAACACAATAGTAATGTATAGTATATTAGGTCCTGAAACATTAGGGTATGCTAATACGTGGTCATTCTAGTAAAGATTCACACTCCCTTGTATAGAAAGTTTTTGCCATCCAGAGGAAGGGGGATATATTGTACTCATGATCCTGTAATAGTGAGATGTATTTGGATGTTTAAGGGACAGACTTTCAATTTCCTCTGTGCAAAAGTGTAGGTGTCTTCTAGAAAACCCCCACTTTATATGTGTGTAATTTCTTTCTAATTCCATTGTAGGTTACAGCTTGGATATCTTTGTTCCTATCTCTAGGCGAATCAGCTTTAACAGGCTATGGCAAAGCAAATATAACACCATATATGCATGCCATGGTGTATCATGTGCCTCGCTTTATGAGAATCCATAAAGGAATACGCAACTTTTCTGGGCAAGGTAATAACTGTATTTACAATACATGATATAATATGTAATAGCCATACTTAGTCACCATTTGCGTATTATTGCAGGTGTTGAAAAACTAAATGATGACTGCAGGCGCATTCATTTACAGAAGTCAAACAAATGGGATGCATGCAAAGATGTGTTGCTTGCTGAAAAAAGGCTAGGATATTTAAGTGATGTACGTAGAACACCAAGGAGATATAAGAAGAAATCAGAAGGTTACTGGTCGAAAGGGATACAGGAAAGTCGTAGCAAGCGCCCTCGATTGTCTAACGAAACTAGCCAAAATCAGGACACACTCTCAACTCTTACCGCAGGAGAATTACGATCACGACTGAAAGATCTCGGCATCAAAACAAAAGTAAAAAATGTTACACGACTGCTTGACATGTATCGTATTGCTTTACAACAATAACTTTTATTGTAAATATTGTTAACCAAGCACATTATTAATATTACAGGCTCTCTTTACAAACATGATTACAATTTTTTCAATAGGAATTCTTTGTCCTTTTTCTAATTTCCCATTTCTGACAACAAACTTTGATGGTGTCCATGACAAAACTTGTTTGGCCTTAATGGGAAATTCTATGGCCATGCCTCCTTCACCATGTGCATTGAGGGTATAAAACCAGTCGTTTGGTAAGCCTACGAAATGCCCAAATTCATTCTTCTCGTATAATTTGTAGCCTTTGTGGTCGCGTTCTTTACCCTTGTTGTGGGTTATGTTCCTCCACACATCTAACTCCATATGCACATAAATTGGTGCATAGGACTTTGACTTTAGGCCTGACAGCACTGTGTGTACAAAATCCCGGCAAGCTCTTTCTAGCCTAGGTTCGGCAGGTTTGTATGGATGATCATAACTCCTAAAAAAAAATACATACAGTTTTGATTCTCAGCCACATGTCTAGAACGGCAAGGTCAAATAAAGTGTAAAATATGTTATATTGTCTCTATAATACCTTAGAAGCGCCGGGGTTAAATTTTCTGATGGCTCCCACGAGCAACTATGGAATGGCCATCCCTTCCACTTAATAAGATATTCATAATTCTAGAAACAATAATCGATAATCGAACCTAGAGTCAGTTTTGTGACGAAAATATCCGTAAAATCAATTTAATAACATGCATGGTATGCTAACTAGCGGTGTGGCACTGCCGTAACTAGAGATTATATACACATTCAAGTAAATAACTTACTTTCGACTTTTTCCTTCGCGCAATCACCCTTTCAGCATCATAAAATTTTGATTTTCTTCCCTTATTTGCCGTGTCGTATAAAACCGTTGAAGAAAACAAGTGCAGTTGCCTATAGTCGATATCTCTACAATATCTTTTTTCGGCCATTTTGCTTTGGTATATCATATGCACAGTAGTGGGAGAAGTCGTGCGCTATCAAATTATCATGAAGAAAACCGCTGAACACGACAGGCGCATGTCCCGCATTTCTGGCCATGATTCCCCGAGTTTACGATTACTACCGATCAACATACTCTTTGTCTTTTCAAGGTAAGTTTGTTTTCATCTAACCAATTTGCTATGAGTAATAAATCTTTATTTAACTTATCACTTAGGCACGTAGGATTAGAGCCATAACAATATATAACTGTATCATCGGCATATAATGAAACGTTTGAAAATTCTAGCTCATTCGGCAAGTCGTTAATATAGATGGTGAATAAGGGACCCAGAATTGTTCCTTGTGGTACGCCGCAGCTAACAGGCATTGGATCGGATACTTCAGTGCCACAGCATACACGTTGTTTCCTATTCACAAGATAGGAATTAAACCACTGGAGGGTATCCTCTGACACTCGTATATCCGATAATTTTGATAACAAGATTTGGTGGTTAAATGTGTTGAAAGCCTTTGTGAGATCTAAAAAAACAGCTCTACAAAGACTACCTTGCTCCATTTTTGATAACGCTTCATCCGCAAAAGATGTTAGAGCAGAAAGAGAAGAAAATCCTTTTCTGAAACGAAATTGCCGGTTCGAAAGTAAGTTATTTTCTTCTAAGAATCTCGATAATTGTGAATGCACTGCCCTTTCCAGAATTTTACTTGAAATTGGCCTATAATTGGATGTATTTGTCCGATCACCAGTTTTAAACGACACTGTTATCTTCGAAGATTTCCATAATTCTGGAAACATTCTGCTTCGTATGGAAACATTTAAAAGTTTTGTATTAGATGGAGTTATTGAATGACCCGCATGTTTTAGAAGTTTCTCACTAATTTTATCCAAACCAATCGCTTTATTCACTTTCAAAGAAAGCAAATGCTTTAACACTGATGATTCATCCAGTTCATTCAGTTGGAATTGTATTTCAGGATTGTTTGAACGGAATACTTGATGAAGATTTATATACAGAGTTATTTTGTCAGCTAATAACCTGTCCAATAGTTGCAAAGAATGTATTCATTGCCAAGGCAATGGCATTAGGAGTAATATATTGTACACCGTATGAGATAACACACTGTACATTTGCAAATCTATTTTTCTACAACTTACTTCATTAACAGCGCTCCAGATTTGCCTCCTTTACTCTCCTCAATTAAATTGCATAAGTACTTCGATTTAGCTAACTTTACCATACGATTAAGTGTATTTTGTAACTTTTTATAAATATCCCAATAGCGTTGCGTTTACAATTACTTTTAACAGCTTTGCGATGATAATGATCCCGTTCTTGCATAGTTTTGCTAATTTTTTGGTTCATCCATGGAACAGGTACACTTTTTACATGTCGTTGTTTAACTGGAGCATGTTCATCGGCAATTTCGGAAAATAATGTATTTCAGGTGAACAATGCATTGTTAATATCACTCTCCTTTTCAACAATATGCCATGGGACATTTTGAAGGTCGTCATTGAATCTGTTAACATCAAAACTTTTATATGATCGGTATTCGAGTATTCTCGGTTAAGCTTTAATTACACCGGTCTTTAATATGCTGTACGCCAAATAATGATCACTAAGCGTAAGAGAAACAATGCCAGATTTTATAATACGGTGATCATTATTCACTAAGATTAAATCAATT